CGGCAAGCACGGTCCAGCTGCTGCTGCATATCAGCGCGAACAGAAGCAGCAGCGCCGCAGAGGAAAAACGATGCCGCGACATTTTTGGGCGGTCGATGCTCACTCCCTTCCCTCCTTCTGCCGGATCCGCTCAGACCGCGATGGTTGTGTGGGCGCTTGAACTTGACAGCAGCAACACTCGAGAGTATATATATGCGTGTGTGGTCAGTGTGTGTGTGTGTTGCTGGTGGTGGCTGCAGAACCCTCAAAGCGCACGATAGCGAGTAGTGTGTCTTGTATTTCCTTCCAAGTGTGTTGGGGAGAGAAAGTTGTGAGAAAAAAACCAAATAAAACAAATAAAGACACCGACACCAAAAAACGACACCGCCCTCGCCCACAGTTGGGCACACCGAAAAGAACAGCGACAATCCAAAAAACGAAGGCCGCATTAGCGAACGCGTGGGCCGCACGATCTCACACTCGCCACCGCCCACGAGAGACGGCAGCTGCAAAGAAGGCGGCGGTGGCAGCGACTGTTGTGCGCAGCCCGAAGAAACACCCACACGCACCCGCACAGAGAGTCCGCAGTGTGGGACGCCTCCCGCATAAATCAAACAACAAAAAACAAATTCATAAGCACCTCGCTTACCGTCTCCCCTGTCCAGCCCCTTCAAACCCCGCCAGCGGCAACACGCAGTGCGCATGCCGGCGGGACCTCCCATCACGGCCCCCACAAAATCTCCAACGCCCCACTTCCCTCAGCGCAACGCAGCAGGAGTGGGGCGCAACGTTAAAAAAAGCGTCAAAAAACCCTGCCTAATAAGAGCGGCAGCCCCCTTTCCTGCTGCTTCGTTCGGCTCACAAGCGAGGGCGACGCCAGCGCAGCCGTAGACTCAGACTGCCTGGTCAGTGCATGCAGCCCGAACAAAACGGAGCAGGCGCATGCGCCCAGGACGGCAACCCAACAAAAGAGAGGCGTCAACGGCGTTTGCTCGAGGCTCTCAGCGGCGCATGCGGCACCCCCCATTGGAGCACAGACGAACCAAAAACGATGGCACCCAAAAAAACAAAAGAGAAAAACACCACGCCAAGACGCAAAAACAATCACAATAATTCGGTTTGTCCCCGCCTTCTGGGCTGTAGCGGCCGCCGCATTTGCTTTCCCGCCTGTGAGCCCACTCAGCATGCAAAACTTACCCTCTCGCCCAAACTCTCTGCAGCAACAAACTGGGAACAGCGAGGAGATATCACCAATCGAATACTGCTGGCGTACACCCACAAGGCGCCATCATTCCCCACGCAATTTTACTCGCAACCACAAAAAAAAAAAAAATAGCTGCTGTGGTAGTGCTGGCCATAATAATCATTTGGCGCACGGCAGAGCGAGTCCCTAAGTACGCCTCCTACCCACACACAAACACACTCGGCAATATATCATACTCCCTAAAATACTTCACCAGTAAACTCAAGCTGTTTATTGCCCTCCCCCTTTTCCTTCTCCCTCTGGTTGCCGCCCATGTTGGGTTTGTCGTTCACTTCCGAAATTTTCAGCTGATACCGCTACCTCGCACTGACGCACCTGCTGATTCCAAAATGCCGCAATGGCCTGAGGGTCCTCACGCTCATTGCTGCCCGTTACATTTGCGTGCGCTACGACAGGCCCGGCATTACATTTTCCACAAAGACTCTACGCAGGAATGCGTGCAGAGTGTATCGCCCCAAAATGTCCGGTAACAACACTTCGCAGTGCTTACGTAGTCGAAAAATAATGTCATTCTCCTCATCCACCTCGAGCAACCTTCCAATTAATTTGCTTTCAATGGAAAAACAGGCCGGCAGGTTCACAAACGCCTCAAGACCGCCTTGTGTTATTGCTCTGACAGCTTTCATAAGTTTGTGAGAAGCGTCATTCGAGGGCCGCATTCCCATGCCCCCAATCATCCCATAATGTACAGCATCTGAGGCGTCGATAGCTGCCACGATGTTATTGGTTTCCTCCACGCGGTCCTCATATTTATCGTATTGAAAGATGCATCGTGGAATCGGTCCGACGTCATCCATGCGCATGTGCATCCTTCTCCAATACTCCACCTGCTCCTCCTCAGTGGTATTGCGTGTCTCCCACGTACACATCGCCTTTACGTCGTTTTTATCGGGGCAATTCATGATGATTTTGATAGCACCCGCCTGCTCCGCCCATTGTTTGAAGTTATCTTCGTGCGGGGACGACAACATAATGATGCCCCACTCAGGGGAGGGCACAACATCACTCGATGGCTCTTGAAAATGTATTGCCATATCGATGATGATATACCCCTTCATTCCACTCCCAGCCAAATTTACCATAACCCTTCCAATATTACACCCACCCACGTATATTGTCACCGTTCGTGTCCTCCTGTCAAACAAGTATGCGAAATCCCTTCCAAAGCAGTACACAACCACATGGAGCTTCGTGGCGTCGTAGTGCAGCAGCTGGTAAAGGATGTAGGAGCCAGCCGCCATTGACTTCCCTATCCCGGGGGTTCCAATCAAAAGATGACGTCCCATTTTAGGTGCGTTTAGACGTGAGGGGGGAAACACTCCTTTTAGATCACCCTCGACAATCTTCCACACCCGATGCACCTCAATGTTAATGTAGCAGTCGGCAATACGTACTTAATGGTTCAGCGAGTACGATCATTGCTTTTCAGAGGAAAGGATCATGAGTCGTGGGCGTGGTGGACGGAATTGCTCATCACCACCCACTGGGAGAAAAGTACGCACAGTCTGCGTGTAGTCCCATAACTCTTGTGGCCGTTGACCCTCTCTCACCACCATGTTGTTCTCTTCGTCCTCGGGAAACCCCATGACGTGACTCCACGCTGCGTTAAACACGGACTCGTAGAATCCCTCCGGTAATGGTTGTCTGGGAGGTTTTTCGTTTTCCCACCTTTCTTTCTCTGCATCCTCCGCCTGCCGAAGAGCTGCATCGAGTCTTCCTTTTGTACGAAGGGGAACCGTATTTTTCTGTCCAAATTCCTTCCATTGATTGAGAGAAAACACACCTTTCTTTGCAAGCATGCGTGCATCTTCAAAAAGCTGATACCCTGGTGGAATTGAGAATTTCTCGAAGAAGCCTCTGGTCTGTAACGTGTTCTGCGGGCTGCTGCACAAACACCTCCATCCACACATTTTGGCCTTCACCCACCGCTCTGCTGGGGCCAATGTACTGCCGAAGGAAGTCGTTCAGCAAAATTCCGTTGCTTTGATCAACCTGTACATTAAGGACATCCTCGGTAGAGCTCGATAGCGTCCACCTTGGCCGCTGCGGCGCTCCTTCCACCCTTCGGCGCTGTGCGGTGGTCTCCTCGGTGGGGTGAGACTCTTCCCTATATCTATCCGACATGTTTTCCTTGAACTTGTTGTCCTTTTGTAGTGATTGTTGGCTTAAGTTGTAAAGCAATACTAACCACTAGCCAAAAAAGGGAGAATGAAAAAAAAAGCCAAAAAACACGCACAAACACGACCCTACGCAGCCACAACAACAAAAACAAGAAAAAAAGCCAACACACACGGCACGCGGCGCACACCTCACGCACAGGCACCCCCAATCCCACACGACGCAAATCACCGCCATATTTACTTTACACTCCGCTGAAGGCAGAGCATCCACACTGCTCGAAGGC